TCAGGTCTCCACGGCTCTAGGTATCACCTGGAAGCTTCACATTCCCCACCACCCCGCAATCCTCAGGGAAGGTGGAGCGCGCCAATGGGCTAATCAAGGGTCACCTGACTAAACTCTCCTGAGAGCTCTGAGACTGCTCCGGGAACATGAAGACCTGCACTTACCCAGTCTTGCCTTGAATCTCGACCTCCTCAGCTGACCTTCCCACCACTGCATCCGGGAGACCAAGTCCTGCTCAAATTGCTTCAGCCAAAGCCACTGCAGCCTCCATGGACCGGTCCACACACAGTCATTCTCACCACGCCTGCAGTGATAACACCTCTGGGAGACCCCTCCTGGCACCATCTCTCTCGGGTCAAACATGCCCCCGAAGACAAACAGTATGCATGTTGTAACCTGGGTCCTACTAGGATGATGCGCATTTCTTGTCAAAATCTCCCGGAGCCCAGTGTCCTGTGTGTGGAAATTCAAAGTTAGGGAGACCTTTGTCTCAGGATCCACGGAGACTACCACTTGGTGGGTACCGTGCAGTGCCCACAGGCCGGATGCACAGCACCCATCACTCTCACCCTAACTCTTTCGTTGATTACCAACCCTATGAACTCCTTGCTTCTTTACCATCAAACCTTAGATCACTGTAAGAATTCCTACAAAGAATATGGGAGGTGCCCTTATCTGTCATGTACAGTGTACCTTCCAGACAAAGGTCAAATGTTCACTCTGGTCTGTCATAATACGGTTTCAATACGAATTAAGTTAGCTATCTTTTCTGATCCTTGGGACCTACGCTGGGTACAGGGAATCCAAGCCACAGGGTACACGGGCTGGCATTCCTACCCAGTGGCAACATTGTCCGTCTCAAGGGAATATGTCCCGACACAATATGCCACAGTCCAAGTCTCCCAGGACATCCTCCATTCAGAGCAAGTCCTACAAAATCAGCTAACATCATCAGAAAAGACAGAGACACCCTCAACCTGGGTTCATATAATCCAAAACACTCTACCCTTCCTGACTGACTCCTTGGGACTAATACTCCTGTTGTATCCTCTGTGCTTCCCTTCAGAGGCCTCTACTGGCGGCAGCTCCAATTAATCTCAATACCACTATGACCAAGATAACGGACGCTGCTTGCCAGACTCCCCAACTCTCAGTCCCCCTATGGGACTCCAGTCACAGCTACCCCTGCTATCCAACTGATACCCTTTGTGCTTTCATTCCCGCACTTCAACATTTCAGTGAAAGGATAGATACCTCCTTAGAAAAAACCTCTGTGTCTTTAGCATCATCACAAAGACAGCTCCCCTCCCTGGCACAGGTCACTCCAAAACCGGTGGGCTCTGGACCTGTTAAAAACTGATAAGGGGGCACCTGCCTGTTCATCAAGGAAGAATGTTGTTACTGTATCAGTGAGTCAGGGATTATAGAACAAAATGTGGAAGGCTTCATGAAACTACGCAAAGACGTGGAAAGGGAAAGCGGCGGCTCCAAGTCTCCACTGACATGGTTTCAAAATCCTATAGTCTCATGGCTCCTCCCACTCTTGGGGCCAATACTAATGATAACTTTATTTTTTTCTTTTTGCTCCTTGCCTCCTAAAATTCACACAGGCTCGCATTCAGGAAATGTCTCCTACCACATTTAACCAACTTTCTACCCATATTCTTGCATCCCTGCAGAAGACCCTCATAACCAGGCCTGAGCCACTCCTGGCTCTCTGCCAGAACCAGAGAGCAGTGATGAGGGAGGAGCACAAGAGAAGGGGTTCATAAACGGGCTGGCCCAGGACAAAGAGGAGCGGCGAATGTGCGTGGTGGGGCAAGGGGTGGAATGTAGTTATATCACAATCCCTGGGAACCATCCTTATGTCACATCAAGAGCTGGGTGCTTGATTTGTTGCCCCAGCCCCCCAGGACTAACCCCCTTTCAGGTTTCTCCTATGGCTGCAGATTACCAACTTGAAGTGGACTCGAGACCATGGGACCCGACCCTGGGAGAGGGTTCAGGCTCGCTTGCTCTGTCCTGTACCCCACCTTTAAACACTGAGCCTACAAAGCCTGTGCTTCCCTAGTAAACTTGAAGTGTTGACAACCACTCTGGGTGACACTGGGAAGAATTGTTTAGTTTGGTTTTCTGCGGGGTTTCTACTTCTCTGTGGAAACTTTCCAATTTTTGTCTGACTCCTCCATCTCACATTCTAATTCCTTATGACCCTGGGGCCAGAGTGCCCCCCAATCAGTGCTCTTTGGAGTGATCTGTTTATCCTCTGTGGATCAGATCCCAGCAAACTGACCTTCCCAGTTGGGAATCTTCCCCCAGTCGTCTCAACATGGGTTGCTCAGCACGCCACAGGATAAACAGGCGACTGAAGCATCAA